TCAAATGTAAAACGTATTCATTGCGAAATTTAACTTTTGTTGAATCGGATTCGAAAGTTTCAAATGTAAAACGTATTCATTGCGAAATTTAACTTAGTTATAAATGCTGCTAAGTCTGGTTTCCTATCACATGAAACATCCATTATACCTCTACCTGGAGATCCGGCTTCAAAACCATCAATATATTATAGGTAAACATGAATAGCGTTTGCCCATTCCAGTCTGTTACAAACGATTTTTGGCCCTCTGATTACATTTTTCACGAATATTTAGAGAACCCCTAGCATATTTTTGGGGTTGAAACTGTCAAACTTTTTGTAGTATATACATTTGCTTGAGTAGCAAGTTTGGCCTTTGGAATGAATGAGAGAGCATGATTACATGAGCATATCTTTTGCAATTTGTAGGGGTTATTTATTTTATACGCTCATTATGTTACGATTGTCAATGGTTACAGGATACAGATTTTCTGTTCGAGCAATACAAGAGGCAACAACAGACCCTATAACTCCCATGAAAGCGGATAATGGTGGGCGTGGGCAATCTCCCCCTGAGTGGAAGGTTAAAATGCTTTATGATGGTGATTGTCCACTTTGCATGCGTGAGGTATGGCACTTCTAATTCTCGTACATAATATAAGGGCAAGTTCAAATGAGAATGACAAAAGGTTGAGAAGGTGAGGATGACGAAAAAACAAACGAAAAGGTATACGATATGAATGTTAAATTAAAGAGAATAAAATGCTCGTTTTATTGGTATAATTTGTTTGGCTCCGATTTTGGTAATATTTCACCTATTTTCGATTGAAAAATAGGGGAAGAATATTTTTTGTTCTAAAAAGAAGTGGTAGCCACCTTGTTGATCAGATCCCTCTCATCCAGTTTCACAGTTGAGATTTATTCTCACATTCCAAACCTTTTTGTCATGTATGAAACTATGAGAATGTCAATTCTCACACAATCCTCTCTACATATAGCTATGGGGGTGGGGATAGGCTTATACAAAGACAGTGCTCTTTGTGTGGTACACATTGTTTAGACTAAATTATGTTTCTTGTTAGGTTAACATGCTAAAGGAAAGGAATAAGAAATACAATTCAATCAACTTTGTTGATATAAGTTCAGATGATTATTCTCCGGAGGATAATCAAGGCCTCGACTACAAAACTGTATGTTAGTCAACATCCTGATCCATGTTTATGGTATTCACTGCTATTCCTCTTATTATTATGCACCGTAGATTTAACATTAACAATCTTTCGACATTCTTAGGCTATGGGAACGATTCATGCAATCATGTCTGATGGAACTGTAGTCACTAGCGTTGAGGTATGCTCTTCTTTTACCGATATGCTATTATTCCAAGTGTTGCTCAGCATTGATGTTTTCTCGTCTTAACTTTATAGGACTTAGCTTTTTTAACGTATCTTATTTGCAGTCATAAAAGAAAGAAAGTGGATGAACCTACCCGTATTGAAATGATATTATGTTGATTCTCACTTAAGAGCATCTCCAACAGATTCTCCAAAATGGAGAAATGGAGATTTTGGGCAAAAAAAAATTTCCAACAGATTCTAAAAAAATGGAGAAAACATGAGAAAGTGTGAAATTCGCCAAAGTTGGAGAGCTCTCCAAAAATGAATACGAGAAACAATTTTTTATTATATTTTCACCAATAAGAAACCTTGAAATTAAATGTTTATGAGAGAGAAACAATATTTTATGAAATGTATAGAAAATTTAATAATATAATTAATGTTGCAATCTCCATGGAGAATCTGTTGGAGTTGAATGTAATTTGTTTTAGAGATTTTGAGTTTTGCTTCTCCGGTTTGAAGAAAACTTTGGAGAACCTGTTTGAGATGCTCTAATAACTGTACTAGGATATTTGATCTCAAGTCTCAACCAAAAAGATAGGACTAGTAATATTGACCAGAACAACCTCACGTGTAGCTTGCTGGCAAAAAAATTTAAAATTTTCGTTTTGCAAGCTGGGTTATTCACGGAAACAACAGGCAAGGTTTGCTGATAAGATCTAAAATTCAAGCAGGCAACTTTGATTGGAACTGAAATAATCGGCCCGATTCGAGAGGGGCAATGTCTCCAATTACACAATACTTTGATAATGAAAACCAAGGATGAAAAATAACGAATGTAAAAAGCCTGCTTTAAATAACCCACGACATTAAGTAGGCAGAGGAATAACTCCTCACCCTTTCATCTACCCGCTAATAATTAGGCATAGTAACTCCTCCCCCTTTCATCTTCCTGCTACTAATTAGGCATAGTAACTGCTCCCCACTCTTTCAAATTACCGCTAACTTCTAGACCGAGTGGATCCAGCTTAAGCCCAAGAACAGAATTCAGCTGGCCCATATCGGCAGCTGTGGCCTGTTTCCTTCTTCTCACATATACTTTAATTGGGCCTTTATCAATACTTCCCTCCCGGTAAAACGCCTTGTCCTCAAGGTGGAATGCAGGAAATTGTTCTGCCAACAGTTCATAGGATTCCCAGGTAGCTTCCTCCACTGGACGATTACACCAAGAGACCAGCAATTCCAGACCCCCCTGGTCAGCCTCAGAAACCCAACGATGAGCTATAATAGAACTTGGTTGCAAGTCAATTTCCCAATCTTTAGTGATGGGTAATGGATGTTGCTGGTCAGAAGAAAAAGAGCCATGGGCCGGTTTAAGCATTGACACATGGAACACCGGATGAATTCTAGCATTGGGTGGGAGCTCCAATTCATATGCAACTGGACCCACCGCCCGTTTAATACGATATGGACCGAAAAAGCGAGGAGAAAGCTTCTCATAGCGACGTTTGGCTAAACTCTTCTGTCGGTAGGGTTKAATTTTTAGGAAAACAAGATCCCCAACTTGAAATGTCAAATCCCGTCGTTTGTGGTTAGCTTGATTCTTCATTCGGTCTTGGGCCCTTTTGAGATTGTTTCTAAGAAGCTTTAGCATATCATCCCGGTCTATTAACTGTTGCTCCAATTCTGCATTTTTTGTTTCCCCTATGAGATAAGGAAATAGAGAAGGGGGCTCCCTRCCATAGACGACGGTGAAAGGAGTGGTGCCTGTTGCCGTATGGTATCCCGTGTTATACGAATATTCAGCCCATGGTAAATAAGTACTCCACTTTGTAGGTTGTTCACTGGCAAAACACCGTAAATAGGCTTCAAGACAACGGTTAAGGACTTCGGTCTGCCCATCTGTCTGGGGATGGTAGCTTGTACTTAATTGGAGCTTAGTTTGGCTTAAACGAAATAATTCTTGCCAAAAATGGCTGAGAAAAACCACGTCCCGGTCCGATACGATGGATCGTGGAAATCCGTGTAACCGAATTACCTCTTTACAAAAGATTGCAGCCACCCCTTTTGCAGTGAAAGGATGCGAGAGGCAAAGAAAATGAGCATATTTGCTCAAACGATCGACCACCACTAAAATAGTATCATAACGACCCGAAGGAGGTAAACCGACTATAAAGTCCATTGAGATGTCCTCCCAAATCTGATTGGGTATGGGTAAGGGCTGAAGTAGACCAGCCGGAGACAATGTTTGGTATTTYTGTTGTTGACAGATTACGCACTGCTGYACAAAAAGTCGAACATCTTGTTTCATTTTAGGCCAAAAGTACCTGGCTGAAAGACGCTTAAGAGTCTTTAAAAATCCCCCATGACCTCCGGTTGGGGTGTCATGTGCCTCCTGTAACAACTTATGCTTGAGATCAGATACCTCTGGTATCACTAAGCGTCCTTTATATAATAAAAACTGATTAACGATGGAAAAACCAGCAACTGATGATGGATCAGCTTGTAATTTGTTTACTATATTGCTGGTAACTGGGTCATTTTGGAGTCCCAGTTTGATGTCAGCCACCTCTACACAATAGGGTACCATAAATACCAATAACTCACCCGAATGAGGTCGTCGAGATAAGGCATCTGCTCCTCTATTCTCTTTCCCTGCTTTGTGGATAATAGAGAAGTCATAAGGCATAAGTTTCAATAGTAAACGCTGCTGCTCGGTAGTTGTAATCCGCTGCTCAAGTAAGAATTTCAAGGTGTAATGATCGGTACGGATGAGAAAATGTCGGCCAAGTAGGTAATGACTCCACTTTTGTACTGCCAGTACTAAAGCCAGCAGCTCCCGGTCATAGGCTGATTTAAACCGATTAGAAGGRGAGAATCCCTTGCTAAAATAGGCCACAGGGTGATCTGATTGAGACAATATAGCCCCTACACCATCAGAGGAAGCGTCACATTCGACGACAAATGGCTGTGAGAAGTCGGGTAGCCTCAAAACAGGAGTCGACAGCAGTGCTTGTTTCAATTTTGTAAAGGCGTTTAGGGCTTCTTCCGACCATACGAATCCGTCTTTCTTAGTCAATGCTGTGAGAGGTCGTGCTATCAAACCATAATTCCGAACGAAACGTCTATAGTATCCCGTTAGACCAAGGAACCCTCTCACTTCCTTGACTGTTGAAGGTATTGGCCAAGATTGCACTGCTGAAATTTTTTCTTCTTCAACTTTAACACCTTCCGAATTAATCACATGCCCGAGAAACACCACTTGTGGCTGCCCGAAACAACACTTCGACATCTTAGCGAAAAATTGATTGTCGTAGAGTAACTTTAA